TACAAATTGGTTGAACATTCAAAATTTGTTTTCTAGATCCAAATTCTCCTTTCTTGATTTCCCACTTCTTGAATTTCCCAGGCCCTATTTTTTCCTTCATCTGTCCAGCCATCCATTTACCTGTTCAGCTCTCTCCAGAACAGCTTAAATATGTTTGAGGAAATGATCACAATGTATCCATCCAGGCATTAGCAAAGTAGAGAAGAAATTCTGATACATGCCATCATATGTATTGGAGAAAAAGGTTTTAATATTTTCTAAGAGGAAAAGTTTTCCCTGGTTGGAGTTATTGTTGGATTTAAACTATCTATTGGTGCCAATCCAATAAAATAAAAAAGTACTTTGAAGTCAAAGCACTAAACTTCTTAGCTATGGAGAGTCCCAGAGTGGAGGCTTACTCCATGTATTTGAGAGTTTTCCACAATTCTGCCACATGTTTTCCTGTGCTTTCCTTGTACTACCCAGAGTGCGTGGTGCCTTCTGGTAACCACGGTGGGTACAGAATATTTCAGCTGGGGTATGGAACAGAGGCCTTGAGTTATGAGGTCACTTGTCCTGTGCCCAAAATTAATGCACAATGCAAACTGTTTCGTGTCCTGAGGCTGAGCAGACATTACCCTACTTGCTGTTTACAAGGGTAGTCATGACAACTGGCAGCATAGTCCACTGGTGTTTTAACTATCTGAACACAAGAGGGCAGTGTTTCCTCCTCCCTTGGACCCTATCTCTCTCTCTCTCTTTTTTTTTTTTTATTTAAGAGGAAAAAGAGAAAAACACAAAACAAACCAAAGCGGCGTAAGGGTACACGCAATACAGAACTACAAAACAAAACAAAACAAAACAAAACAAAACAAAACAAAAAACCATAACAGTAAGAAATTACCTGCTAGTAGATTACACACTATTTTCTTGAAAATAGTTCCTCAAATCACAGTATCAAAGAACACAAGGTGGACATTCAAACAGGGAGACTGCAAACAGCTGTGTTCAATGTTCCAAAAACATTGATAAAGTCAGCTATTTAACACCCCCAAACACACTTGCTGTTATATCCGTTAGAGCTCCTTTTCTTTTTTTTTTTTTTCCCCTCTCTTTTTTACAACAAAATTTACACATCTTGGATTTTATTACTCCTTAGTGCTTATTACTTTCTTTGGGGGGGGGGAAGAATACAGTCAAATATGGCAAAACAAAGCTGTCAGTCAATACCAAGGATAGACGTAGCACATGGTGTAGAACAGAGTACAAGTTTATCAACAATGGTTATCAACGTTGTCCCTTGTTTCCTTAAAAAGAATTGTCTATCTTATTAGATATTATAAAGTTGGACAAAACAGTAGAGAACAAGACCAATAAAACTTAGGCATTGTAAACATTACAGGACTTCCAAAGAAGACAATAGTCAAACCAGAATGGGTATCTTAGTGAATCTTATTGTCTTCAAAGTAGTTGCCTATGTCTTCAAACTTGATACTATCATATAGAATGGAACAGAGTCTAATCAGTCAAAACAAGATCGTGGGAGTACTACAGGACTTCAAAACAAGTTAATAGGAAATCGAAAAGAGTTACTATTTATATATCCTAATTTTTTTGAATTTTTTCTTTAATTAAGACAAACATAAGAAATGACTAAATAATTTTTTTTGAAACAATAAGGGGGAGATTGAGATAAAACAGGACATAACAATATAACAATAGAGGTCACAGCATGACTGTTTCAATAACCTAGTACTTCACCACCTTATAACCTGACTTAATAGTAGTTACCATAGTGTCTTTTTCCTTGAAATATTTGGGTAAAACTTCATATACTCTAGCTTCAAATATTTTCATATCAAGAAGCCCAGAATAAAGCCTTTCTAATTAATGAGTGAAAACTTTATAAGGCTTCAAGGCCACCTAATGGGGAATCATGATTACCACATATTTTTATATATTTGAATCATTACTTACATTAGGGAAACTATTCGGTATTCACACATGCGAGATTGATTTATTTCACTTATGAGTATGGTCTCAAGCTGTGCCCATTTATTGATAAATATCTCAATGTGATCCTTCTTTATAGCTGAATAATATTCCATTGTATAGAAATACCACAACTTTTTTATCCATTCCTCAGTTGATGGGCACTTGGGTTGTTTCCAAGATCTGGCGATTACAAATTGTGCTGCTATAAACATAGGTGCACATATATCACTGTGGTATGATGCTTTCAGTTCTTCTGGGAATATGCCTAGAAGTGGAATAGCTGGAATAAATGGGATTTCCAGTCCCAACTTTTTGAGAAATCTCCAGACAGATCTCCACAAAGGCTGTACCAGTCTACACTCCCACCAGCAGTGCAGGAGAGTTCCTTTTTCCCCACAGCCTCTCCAGCATTTGTTGTCGGTTTTCTTGATCCTGGCCATTCTTTCAGGAGTGAGATGGTATCTCAGTGTGGTTTTAATTTGCATTTCTCTAATGACCAATGATGATGAGCATTTAATTCTAAGCAGCAAAGCAGGAGGCATCACAATCCCTATCTCTCTTTTCGCTACGCAAATCTATGAGGATACAGTTCCAATTCAATACACAGTGTTAGGATGAGATCAGAATATGTTTACATTTTCATCACCTTCAACATCTTTTTAAAATTTTGATTAATAAGTAATAATTACACACACTTATGTGAAGTAGTGTTTCAATTTGTGTATACAATATGTACTGATCAAATTAGGGTAATCAGTATTTCTATCTCCTGTCACCAGTTTTTATTTGGAAACTGTGTGTTCTTCTCTTCTAGTTATGCTTAAAATATATAACAGACAACTATAGTCACTGTGCTCTGCTAGAGAACACTAGAAATTGCTACCTTAATCTTTAGCATTTTGGTCCCTGTCGTCAAACCTTCCTCAATGTCCTCCTCCATACTCGCCTCTACTGTTCACTATCATATGTTCCAATTAACTTTTTAAGATAATCACATGGGGAGGACATGTGATATTTGTTTTTCTATGTTTGATTTGTTTCCTTTAACATAATCTCCTCCAGTTCTATTTTGCCATAAGTGATATAATTCTTTTTCATAGCTGAATAATATCATAGCTGAATAATAATTTCTGTATCCACATATCCATCTATGGGCTTCTAGGCTGATTCTGTTTCTTATGTACTGTGAATACTGCAGCAATAAACATTGGCATATAAATATCTTTTTAATATTGTGATGCTATTTCCTGTACGTGACTATTTAACAAGTTAGGTAGAATGAATTACAGGCCAATGGAAAAATTTTGGTTTTTATTTAAATTTTTTTATTTTAAAGAGGAAAAAACCAAGAAAAATATAACAGAATAAAATCAATCAAAATAAACCAGAATAAGTGATACAGGACTTCCAAGCCTTTCAAAATCAATAATAGTTACCACAGTGCCTTTGTTGTCTTCAAAATAGCTGCAGATCCACAGTCAGATGTCTTAAAAATTGAACAGAACAGGGTATAGTAGAAACAATAAAAACAAAACAATAAATGCAAAAAGAACCTCAAAACAAGCCTGAGGTGAATACGTAATGGCTCCATAATATGTCTTGCACTCTTTCAAAAAGCTGCTCATGCCATCAGATTTCACATAAAGAAAATACAAGAAAATAAACCCCAACTCCCAAATACCCCAAACAATGAAAATTATATGGTTTCTGGGTGGGGAATTTCCTCTCTGTTGGTCATGGTTCTCTCCCTCTGTAGTCCACAAATGGCACTGACTCACAGAGAGAGGCTTGGATCTGGCTCTCTGCAAGCCAGAAGCAGACCGAGTATGGCCCTGGAATCTTGATTATTAGAAGATAAAGAATACTTGAGGGGGTTTATATTCTTAGCACAGATTCCTACCTATAGAATTACACCATTCATGTAAACACAGATACATGTGCTTTCTTTTTGCTGCCTAGAAGAAATCAGAGGGAAAAACCCAGAAGCATCAAGTTGCACTGACTTTGGTTTTATTTGATGCACGGGAAGAGTCATGGCCCTCAGGGATGCAATATTAAGTATACACAGAGTTAAAGGGGATTCTTTGCTTTACTATCAATGGAATTGTTTCAAAGCCTATGACTGATAGCATTCATGTACTGTTATTATAAGTGAAGTGGATGAAATCAAATGAATTTTGATTTGGTCAGTAAACATGTATTCTGGGTTATTCTATCATATCATTTATGACACTTTAACTATAGCTTGCACTGTAAGTCAAGATATTGCTAAGGCTGAGCACATGAAATCACTTGTCTTTTAAAATTAAGCATTAAATATATAGTTTTATGGTGCAATCATATGTTGTTGCCTGAAAATATTCTATTGAAGTCTTACATACTGAGCTATTGCTTCTAGTCAGAGAGACATTTTTTCTTCATCATCACATTCTTGGCTGACCAAATATATTATTGTGTTCACTTATCTCTGTCTAAAGATTGTCCCTAGTACTTTCACATCTGATCCAGTGAAAGATGCTTATAATTTACAAAAATGCGTTTCCTAAGATGCATTCCTAATATTCTGTTCTTTTTTTTATACTTATGTAGGTCTCCACTGCGTTATTATTTTGTTTGGAGCACTCAGCTATCTCTGTTCCTCCTTCTTTAGTTTTATCAGCTACAATTTCTGCATTTTGAAGAGAAACGCTAATGTTTTCCTTTTTATTTTACCTGCTCTGTAATTACTGGTGATTATTTTTCCTTGAAATAGACATCAATGAATAGATTAACAAGGCAGAAAAGTTAAGAGTTTTAGTGACTACACTACAGAGGTTTATAAAATAAACAAAAGTTTAAAAATCCACCATATGAGAATGGTAGACCCGTTCCTTTGCCATGCCTTACCTGGTCTAAGAGGTGCACACAGTACTTTTTAAAAAAAAATGATTCTACTTGTGACCACTGGGTAGCAATGTTTCTTTCTCTTTGTAATTTAACCCTCGTGCCTAGAAAATAAGTTTACACAAGAGACTCATATAGCAGATGAAAAGCACTTCTAGATTGCTCTACCAAAATAATAAGGAAAGGAAGATTTCTTTGGCTACACTCTTTAGATAACATTTCATCTTATTAAGACAAAGTAGCAGAATGGAGAAGGTGCAAGGTTCTGTGCTGGTTATATTTTGGCTGCATCTTGGCTGTGAGTTGAGGGGCTGTAAGGGCTGGGAGTCCCAGGGGATATGCACTGAAATCCTAGGGATGTAGTTTGGATTCAACTGTATTTTTTTGTGGGAGATTTGGAATCAAACTTATGAACCAAAGCCTGCACATTGTGACTTCTGTTGTATTTCTGAACAGGTCTGAAAGGAGAAACCCAGGTGGAGCAGCGTCCCCGTACCCTGGTACCCCAAGAGGGAGACATTATCTCCATGAGTTGCACCTACCCAGTTAGCATTTTTAAGGGCCTGCTGTGGTACAGACAGGATGAGGGGCTAGGACTCCAACACCTGTTTTCCATGTATTCAGCTGGAGACGTGAAACAAAAGGGAAGACTGAGAGCCACGTTACTGAAGAATGGAAGCAGCTTGTCCATCACAGCCTCAGAGCCTGAAGACTCAGCCACCTACTTCTGTGCTGTAGCCACACAGCGGTGGCTAGGCACCTGTGATCTGAACCCAAACCTGCAGCTTGGCACCGGGAGCATGAGAGAAGCATCAGAAGTGGGCTCTGAGCTGGGGCCCCTTGCAGAGTAGAGTGTTGGGCTGTCTATAGAGTGAATGGCAAATGCTTCTGTCATTTGGTCCACCAATTTTATCAGGTCACCCTCCACATCCTCTTACAGCCTCATCTGAATATGCCAGTCCTGACCCCTGCTGTCTTCTACAAGATCCACCAGACCCCAAGTCCATCTCTGTGTATGGCAGGAAGCTGTTCTCTTTTGGGAAGTGTGGAAACACAGGCCAATAAAGCTTTTCTTCTACCAAACCTGACAAAGGAATTGCAAATGTGAGCATAAACTTGGATGGGTTACATGCACTAAAAATGGGCATCTGAGTTTTTCCATCAGCATGTACAATGTTCTGTGACTTGAGAGTAAATTTAGCGACTAACACCTTATTGAAAACATTTTTTTTTTTTTAAATCGGTACTGGGGATCAAACTCATGACAGCCTGCTTGCAAGGCAGGTACTTAATGTCGCTGAGCTAAATCCCCAGCCCCTGAAAACATATTTAAAAACCTAATAAGTATCACACACTCTGCTTCTGCTACAAAGGAGTTCAAGCTGGAAGAAATAATGCATTGGTAGCTGCCATCTGTGAAACTCATGCATGAGTGAGCAAGCATCTACCAGCTCCTACAATGTGCCGGTACCCTTCATAGGTTTTGGGATACATGGATAGCAAATGTAACAGGTAGGGCTTTGGAAGTTCATGTTTCCTGAAAGTTCTATACTTCACAGATGGGAAACTGTGTTGGGAATTAGAGGTCTTTGAGAGACTGCAGCAAAGTTTAGTTTCTTCCCCATCACTCATTCTTCCTATGAAAGCACTGATGATACCTGAGTGCTTCTTGAATTTGGGACAAGAGTGTCACTGGCTTACTGCCACTGACATGGTCATGGAACTGCTTCCCATTTTGAAGTACTCATGGGCAGAGGTGAGGAAAACATGTGAGGTGGTTCTGGTACTAAAAATCCCTACACTGTGAAAGGTTACAGGCTACCACTGGGAAAATACATAATAAAGCTTAACCCTTTATTCAACAGTAAAATTGTAGAGATGAAATAAAATAACATATGACACCGACAAACTTTACTAAGTAAATGGATATTATTTTAAATAAGTGTAAAATCCTTTTCTATGGATAAGCGTTACCAATTGTTGGTGTTGTTTGAGAACTCAGCCTAACACAGGCTAAGTGGGCACTGTGAAACAGCAAGACTGGAGGTGAGTGTACTGCTGTATTTTGATGCAAAGGAGAGGGCACCTCTGCAGGCTAAGATCAGGAAGCGGGGGATCTGGACCTCTTGTTTGCATATCCAACATTCAAGCATGCCTGTCAGCACATTCCCTGGTTTCAGCCCTCACTCTCCTGAAACATGCCTGTAAGCTGCTACATAAGTAGCACTCCTAGGCACTTGTTAAGTTTTAGTCTAGGAGGGCTCCTTCCTGTGCTGCAGTATAGGCTCTGTTAAAATAGACTCACTGTAATGTTCCTATAAACTTGCTCACAATCCATTTCTTGGGTAATGTGGACAGAACAGTCTAATTCCAAAGAAAGTTGAATAAACACCCAGAGCTGTTAACTCCAAAGAGCTCCAGTGATCAGCAGCCAATGAAGGCTACCAGCACATACTCACAACTAGTAAAGTCACCCTACAGTGTCCATCACAACCTGACATTTGGCAGACAGCTGGAAGTGTCAGAGACCCAGTACCCGTTAGCCAATCTACAGTGTCCAGCAGAAGTTGACATTAGATGGTGATGGCCAGCAGCAGCAGTGAACAGGGGCTGCTGCATCAACCACTGATATCCAGCATTACCTGGTGTTATCTGGTGGAAGCACAAAGTAAGTAGAGCTCCACTTGCTGATTCACGATGTCCATCTGAATCAGGCAAAAGAACCCTAGGCTGAATGGCAAGAGATTTTTTTTTTTTGCAAGAATTTTGTAGGTGTGCAAAAAATGTAAGAGTTGTGGAGTTAGGAAGGCTTCCACTCAGATTGCAGAAGAAGGCCTTGGAGGCTGGGCATTGTGCCCTTGAGAGGGCAGTGTGTGAAATACTGAGTGGAGCCAGAAGTGCAGCGGAGAGCCCAAGGAATTGAAGAATCCAGGAATGGGAAACATCTGAGGAAAGCAGGAGGCAGTGAGCAGAGCCAATGAAGAGAAAGGACTACCACCCACAGTGCCATGGGGGCAAAGCTGCTCAAACCATTATGATATTCACATTTCAGCACAATTTGTCCAGGGCACAGAGCCAAATTTAATGTTTGTTCTGCTGGGTTCTGCTGTTGCTTTGATCTGATTTCTCCTCTCCCCAATACTTCTTCTTTTCTGAATGGGAATATTTATCCTGTATCATTGTGTGTTGGCAGTGTATTATTATCTTTTTAAGTTTTACATGGCTCATATGTAAGAGCTTGCCTTGAGTCTGAGAGGAGACTTTGGACTTGGACTTTTCAGCACTGCTAAAACTGTTATGAGTGGTGACTCTTAGGCATGGACTAAATATATTTTGCATAAAGAAATATACATGATTCTTTGAGGGCCATGCGTACAATGTAATGACTTAGATCTAAATGACCCCCAAAACCTCATGTGTTTGGAAGGTGATGGGTTAGGCATATGTTACAACTGACTTGCTGTTAGGAGGTGGGTTTTAAGAGGTGAGATACTGGGGGGGGTGACCTGTGAGGATATGTCTCCCTCCAATCCTCCTTCCCTCTCCTTATACTTCCAGACACCATGACATGAACAGCTTTACTCTGCCAGTATCTTCCACCACATCTTTTTTCTTTGGATTCAGCTGTCCATGCACTGAAAATATCAGCCAAGATAATCTTCTTTTTTAAGTTGGAATGCCAGACACTCTCTCCTAGCAACAAGAAAGGGATAAAATATTATTGTGTCATATTTTTATACTGTCCTGGTTACTTTTCTCTCACTGCTGGGACTAAATGCCCAACACCCAAAATGAAGGAAGAAAAAGTTTATTCAACTCACAGTTCATGGAGATCTCATTCCATACTTGCTGGCTCCAAGGCAGGTTGGGGTGGCTAAGGGGCAACATTCATGGTAGCTGCAAGCAACAAGCGTGAAAGGGAAAAAAGTGGGAGCAAACTGCTTTCCCACCCTTATATTGTATGCCAGCTACCCATCCTTAGGCAGGTGCAGCCAATCCCGGCAATAGACAACGAACCAATCCAAAGGTTAGACTCAGCTGTCTTTGAAAGACCTGCCACCCATGACCACATGAGGCTTTGTGGGGGCACATCTAGGTGCAGCCCATAACACATACTAGTCTTTTTGTTCTGTGATTTATTAGTGAGAGATATCCCCTCTAAAGGTACAACCCCAGTGATGCATCTCCTTCACATGCACTCTGCTAACAGCACATTCAGCTATAGACACGCAGGCAACCCCACTATCCAAATGCCTCTTTACAAGTCTCTTAATCCACTAAATATGGCAACATTAACTGGTGTTTTGGTATTGAATATAACTGTAATCATTTCCCCCACTTTCATTCTATTTCTTGAGTAATAGAAAGTTTTATCATAAAATAATTTATTACTTTGCCCATCCACCCTTTTAACAAATATTTGTTGACTTTTCCTGAGAGAAAAATACCATGCTATGATCTCAGGCTGTCTGTTAACCTGATCATGTCTCTGCCAAAAGAAATAACCCAATTATTGGGATGCAGACTTGAATAGTTTTGCTCACCTTTTGCTCTATCTCCCTCTTCTATTTCTGATTTTCCTCTTTTTCTCTCTTGTCCCTCATCTAAAATACTCTTCTTCCCTTTGTAACTTCCATTTTCTGCCTCTCAATCCACTTTGTTAGTTGCATGAAATATAAATGATGTTCCTGTGTTATTGTGCTCTCTAGTGTCTGCACTTGGAAAACAGGTGTCTGGAAGAGGACATACAAAGAAAAGCATACTTAATGGTGGGGTTTTTGGTTCTATGTTAGGTAGGAATGACATTACTGGGTTGAATCTCTTGTGCCTTTCCAATCACTTCACTAAGCCACTATAAACTTGCAAAGAGATCCCAACACTTAATATACTAATGTCTGTGTAAGCAAGTGAAGAAATTATAAAATTCCATAGATGGGAAAATGTGGATACAGTTTTGATGGCAGTTGGAGTACGTTTTCATTGATTTGTTTATGAGCATCTTCAATAATATCCTTATAGTTGTATGTGTGGCATGTTAGCAATTTTAGATGTAGTTTAATATAGGAAGTGTGCCTAAGATGTCAAGATTCTAGTGGTATTACATCTTTTTATACTCTGCATGCACTTTGCAAACTTCTGTAGTTGCGTCACATAATTTAAGCAATTCTATTCAGGAGAACAACTTGCTAATCTGGATAAGAACATACTTTACTCTTTTGTATGCTGACACTTTAGTTGAGGTTAAATTTCAAAGGAAATGTGTTATGCTTTGGCAAGCCTCAGTTGACAGAAAGCACAAGGGATTCATTATGATAAAACCAATATTTCATAGAAAAATGACTGTTTGGAAGAAAAAGCAGCCATTATTACCCTTGAGTTTTTATTTGAAATTTAGGCAGCACTAACTATCTTAATTTTTCTACCACTAAGATGAATTTTAATTTCATTTCTGAATTTATAAATTCAAATTCTGTAAAACACATGTTACTGTTTTTCATTCTGGAAATTATTGGTATCAGAAGACAAAAGAAATCTTACCAGTGTTCTGGTTCTAGTTCTTCAACATTACATCTGCAAATTTTCCCATTCCATTTTACATTAATAGTAAGTAAAATACAACAAAATCACATTTATTATTTATTAATTTTTAGTGACAGGTAATTGTTAATCAAATTATTTTCGTTTTCCTAAAGAACTTGCTGACTTTTTCAAAGTTTGACAAGTGTAATTTCTGTTATTTTGCTCATTAAAATTTTACCTGAGATGCAATTCTAAGAAAATGATACAAACTAAACTAAAATGATGACATGTTTTATGCAGACATTAGAAGTGGATTGGGATATATCTGCTTTCTGAGTGAAACTTAAAGTTTACTATTTCTTATTTGGTAAGTATATTTAAAGCCGTTCCAGTAAGAACTGATAAAACTACCTTATTTTATGTTTCACTTAACTTAAGGCAGAGGACCTTAACTAAAAGTCTATATTTAT